GGTCGCCGGGTTCAAAACGCGGTGCGCACACCACCGTACCACCGCTGGACCCTAGCGTGTAGGCGGAGGGCAATAAACCCGTACGTTAGATGATGATGATGATGATGAAAAAGCCACATGCTAATGCTATGAATGAGAATCTTGCCTCCAGCTCAGCAATCTGAACGCATCGTGTTATCCATTTCAGGTTTACACGTAAGCCCGTTGTTGGAAATGCTATGGAGCTGATGAACGAATATTAATAATCCATAATAGAGGTTGTTGGGTTAGATCGCGTAAATATAAATGTGTCGTTAAATCCACAGATTTATATTCATGCGATCTAACCCAAACATATCTTACGGATAATATTGGTCGCGAAAGCCTACGTGATTAACTGAATATGAATAAGATAATTGTTTTTTTACCCTGCTATCTGGCAACAAACTGACACCTTTTTTACAAGGAGTCATGTTTGCATAGACCACAATACCTGCAGTCATAATGCAAACAAAAAACATAGCTCTGATAATGTATGCACTGTCCTTGAAGTTGATTGGTCCACACCTGAGACAGCTTTCCTTAGAGCCTAGTCTCACATGGTGTTGGACCAATGGTGTAAATGCTTACCCCGAGCTCTCATACTCTGATGGTGCATTGTCTTTGAGTTGTGCGCCTTTTGGCGTCATCTGGTCCAACACCATGTGAGACTAGGCTCTAAGGAAAGCTGTCTCGGGTGTGAACCAATCAACTTCAAGGACAGTGCACATTATCAGAGCTATGTTTTTTGTTTGCATTATGACTGCAGATATTGTGGTCTATGCAAACATGACTCCGTGTAAAAAAGGTGTCAGTTTTGTTGCCAGATAGAAGGGTAAAAAACAATTATCATATTTTTTACTGGCAAATGAGGTTCCAATGGTGAATATGAATAAGTTTGTAACTTGGGAGTTGAGTTGGATCTCCATTGAATCCAATGACAAATATCAGTGGTGGTGCTGCTGCATTGGGGACCCTAAGCCACAAGTTATTTTTGGGGAACCCCCCTCCACCTTAAGATATATAAACTCCTCGTGAGATGAGCGAAGAGATATATACATGAGATAAAGGTGTAGCGAGACGCGAGACGATTGATACAGATGAGCCAGAGATGTAGTAAAATGAGAGTGATGAATTTCGATGTAAAGCTTTCGTGACTGCAGGGATTCATCTTCTTGGTTCTTTCGGTAAAGTCACGTAGAATGGAAATAATAAAATAATAAAAATAAAACAGAGTCAGGTCTGTCGATAAGACAGAGTCATTCAGACTCTGTCTTATCGACAGACCTGCTCTTCACCTTAGGACGGCTGCTTGCGTTGTGGCCGAAACGTCGTGAGAATTATTTTATTATGTTTTTTATTTTATGATTTCCATTTTACGTGACTTTACCGAAAGAACCAAGAAGATTAGAGTGATGAAGATAAGATACAAAGACGGTGTTAGATGGTAGCAGAGAGCAAGGGACAAGATGGTTGGCTTGTTACGTTAATCAGGATTTGAATTTGAGCTGATATTTGGTTCATCACAATTTTATTTTTTACACGAATCTAGAGCCCTTTGCGCTGCTTGGGGCCCCGAGCATTTGCTTGGTCGGCTTTTGGCTGGTGCCACCGCTGATGAAATCACTGGCACCGTTTGGAAAAGTCGTGGAGTGTAAAGCTCTTTTCCGTTCGCCCGTTTCAAATCGGGACACCGAAGCCACTATTATTGTTTTTATCAGACCACAAATTTTAACCAGGTCAGCTGATTCTGGCATCACTGATGGGTACGTTGACCCAAGCAATAGGAACTCGCCCCAAACTGTTTTCAACTGGCTGTTCTGTAATGTTTGTATTTGCCTTGTGGTGCTGGTGGCATGATGAGCCAATACACACGCTCATTGGTCCCACTGTTAGCTGTCGGTCATACCAGGAAATTAACCACTAGGTTGTAAATTCCCTTTTCGGGTGTTAAAATGATAAATAACATCACATATTTTTCGATTTAAAACTTTCGTGACTGCAGGGATTCGTCTTCTTGGTTCTTTCGGTAAAGTCACGTAGAAGGCAAGTAATAAAATAATAAAAATAAAACATAATAAAATAATTCTCACGACGTTTCGGCCACAACGCAAGCAGCCGTCCTCAGGTCAAGACCAGGTCTGTCGGGGAGACAGCGTCTGAAACGCTGTCTCTCCGACATAATAAATTATTTTGTTATGTTTTACTTTTATTATTTTATTACTTGCCTTCTACGTGACTTTACCGAAAGAACCAAGAAGAAACATCACATATCTTTCAGCTATTTGTCATTACAATACTGGATCAGGGCCTCCCCACGCCTTTTGGTCACGTGTGTGTATTTTAATCCAATTGTACCAGGTCAATACCGATTGGTGCCAGTGATTAAAGCAGCGAGGCCCATGACTGGTTCAGATTTCATTCGCCGCTGATATTATCTGTGGCAGGAAATGGACTTTAGGTCGTTGGGTTCATAGAACAGGGAGAGAAATCCACTCCACTGCCACTCTATAACCTACGTAATTATATATTGGGTCTATTTAAAATACACCATGCTTATACGCTTTTTAAATAGAAATGTATCCTCGAGAATGGCATATGGCAGAAGGTGTTAAATAACTACTTTTTGATCGCTTTCGGTGACCAATTTATCTGCACACTCGGAGGGAACACCTTCCCACATGCGCTGCTACATATGCTCATTGCACGGGTGTCAAGTCAATGTTGTTAATTCTCATTAACAAAACTAATTGGACGTGACGGGGTTTTTTTGTGTGCGTGTGTGTCTGCAGTCGTTGGTGGCTGGGCCAAGGCTATCAATCTACGGCATATGATAACCCAATTGAATGACTTTGAGCTGAAAAACCACATTCAAGCCTGAATGACGATTGTCCTAATATTTATCAATTAGTGACTTTTCAAGCACGTCACATGTGCCACCTTAAGCGCACTTAATGAATAAAACTCTTAGGTTTTCCGGTAAAGTCACGTTGGTAAAAAAATAAAAATAATAGAAATAATAACAGAAATAAAATAATAAATCACGACGTTTCGGAGGCAACACAAGTCTCCGTAATCAGGTGGGACCGTCACAGCCAGATTTACTGTCTCAACAGTTTTATTACAATTTATTATTTTATTTCTATTATTATTTCTATAATTTTTTATTTTTTACCTACGTGACTTTACCGAAAAACCTAAGAGTATGAATCCTTGCAGTCACGAAAGCTTCAAATCGAGAATTAATGAATCAAATTTTTTTTTTTATTAATCTGTGTGGTTTATTTCATACAATCTGTCTACAATCGCAGCTCCTGTCGTTGCTTTGAGTTTGCGCACTTACTTTTAATAGTGAAGTGTCAAAGTAGTCGGTGGCTCTTTCCACGTGGTCACAGAAGTAGTCTCAAATCACTCCCTGGCAGCGTGATACCGTTATGTAGTGGTTTTATGGCCACATTAAAGACCAACCCACATTTTTTTTTTATATATAACATTAAACATTATTCACAACATGTCGGTAAAAAAGTGCCACTTTTTCATGAAAATAAGGCCATTGTTGCCGAATGATTAAGTGCGTAGCTGTTATTAGAATGTTTTATTAACGCTTTAAATCTGTTTAATAAAAAAACCTTGAAAGTAGAAGAAATAAATTGATTCGTAAGTCAATTACACCATTTCTATTGGTAGCTTATAAATTGTAAATGACGCTGATGGAAAGGTAATGAGTTTTTCAGTGCCCGGCTCATACGGCGTAATAACTCTTGCAGGGCATAACGCGTACACACCAGAGGGATATAGCGCTCCCCATTTTTGTTTTTCCTTCTCTCCCTTCCGTTCGTTTTGGGATAAGCGCTCTGGCACGGGCGAGCGGGCGCTAATGAGATCGGCCATACACTCCGGGCTTGGGGAGCGCGTGTTGGGGCGGGGGGTGGGGGTGCGGGGGGGAGATGTGGTGGCTCTGCTGGGGGCCAGGGTCTACGACGCCAGGCTCTGTACAGTATTTCCCAAGTGGCTTCCGTGGCTTTTCGTGGGGATTACAGCTGGTGTCTGGGGGTCAGGTAGCGAAGTGCTCTTCCGCGTGCGGTGCTGCTGCCCTTCCCCCCAACCACCACCACCACCCTTCCCTCCAGCCGTGGCACTGTGACCAAATAAAACAGGGGGCATCCACATAGTCGCCTTGGTTTGACTTTTCATTTTTTGTTTCTCTTCACGTTCACTCCTCGACCCACTTTTCGCGCCGTCGCTGCAAAAAGGGCTCCTTTTCAAGCACGCTAATTGATGCGCGCTTTCCGCATTGATTTCGCCGCTGTTTTCTAACGGGAATGAATTGCGATTGATTTAATTCACCGCCGTTGCTGCCGTGAGCTTCCCTCCGGACGGTGAATTTTAAGCGACGCATGCAATCAAATGCAATGCCACATGCTCATTTGTGGCGATATGGAATTCATGAAAACGTTACGCAACTTGCACACTAAAACACGTATTTATTGCTGGCGTATATTTACTAATTGTGAACTGTCCGTAAATGTTGACTAAAAAAATACGAGTCCCAAAAGGCTAAACAAATGCGATGATTGAACGTATTCATTCCATGACTACATCACGACAAGACGTGGACGTTTGATGGTGGCGACTTCTTACGCGCACATAGGATTGCTTTGTCATCACAGTCTCGCGCAGCGTTACGATGTCAAAGGCGTAGTTTCACTCGGAACTAAGCCTCTCAACGCAAATCACCTTCGCCGGACAGCGAAGCGACGCGCACTCCGCCACGCGTTCGTATGCATGTACGTCGAACTCCATTTGCACCGTACGTAGCCGAACGTGCTAATCGGAGGTCCGGCGGGTCGTGGTGGTAGTGGGGGTGCGGAAGGACAACAAACTAAACACAAAAAGCAGTTCTAAATTACGCGTGAGCTCGCGCGCCGCCTGATTCACGCGACTGACACCCAGCGAATTCGCGTGCGCGTGCGTGCCCGCAGGCTTTTTCCGCAGGAGCATCACCAAGAAGGCGAGCTACGTGTGCAAGAACGGCGGCGCGTGCGAGATGGACATGTACATGCGACGCAAGTGCCAGCAGTGCCGGCTCAGGAAGTGTCGGGAAGTCGGCATGCTGGCGGAGTGTACGTACTCGCCGCTGTGTGCATGCATGTTGACCATCTTTCGCGCCGCACGTTAGCCAGCCATGCTGTCACTCTTGTCCAGCCAGATATTGCTCAGCTGCTTCAGCTCATCGTCTGGATCCCGGTCTAGAAAGAATCCGCCAGTGAATTTGTGGACAACAGGGCATTACGTCGATCGATTGGGGCAACAGACGATATGCGTCACGGATTATAGGACCGCAAGATACAATGAGTTTACTCGACCAGTTCACTGTAATGTGTCTCAGACCATAACAATATGTATGTATGCATGTGAGCACGTGCACGGCCGTATTTAACATATGCAGCTCTGGCCTTAATGTCAATTGCACCCTGGGTAAACAGAGAATTTAGAGCCCCTTGACAAGTAATCCTTCTATAATAACCCGTCACTTGTCTTTTGTCATCCGTCATGTGACTCTCTGCGTGTGTGTGTGTGTGCGTTTGTAAAATCTGGTAACAGCGAATGAAGGTTGTTTGTGTTCCCCGTGTATTTTATGTGGCTCCCTGCACGACATTGTGTCCTTGGAGGCTGCCACCCTGGTCCCCCACCCCCAAGGCCATGCCAGAACGAGTGCATGCCGCGTTTGGCATGCCAAGCCAACCGACCCACATGGCCTTGCCGTCGCTCAATCCATCTCTCCGTTGGTCATTGTCTCTCCGTTGCGTTCGCTGCCGTTCTGTCACCCGTCTCATCCACGCGCCACCGTGCCCTCTCGTGATGTGCCCTGCCCAAACCCATTTGTGTTCACGAAATATGCATGATATTCTTCATTTGAAGCTTTCGTGACTGCAGGAATCCATACTCTTTGGTTCTTTCGGTGAAGTCACGTAGGTAGAAAAATAAAAAAAATAAAAATAATTTCTCACGACGGTTCGATCGCAACACAAGCGGTCGCCACATACATAACATCTTGTTGTAACAGCTCTCTCGCTGGTTCAGCATTTCCACTGCTGGATTTTTTTTTCATCCGCCCGAGGACGACCGCTTGTGTTGCGATCGAAACGTCGTGCTATGTTATTTTTTTATTTTGATTTATTTTTCTACCTACCTGTCTTTACCGAAAGAACCAAAGAGTATGCATGATATTGCACATCTTAGAAATTACGACGTACGATGTGTACGTATTGTTTGCATTCATCGTGTGCTGATTAAAAAAGAAACGTTTAAATAAAACAAATGAGACAGAGCAAGACAGACGTTTAAAATAATCACGTCGTCATTTTACCGAGCAAGGAAGACACTACAGAGAAAACATTGATCTTTGAATCAAATTGATATTTAATCATCGTTACAACCATAATTTCAAGTACATTATGAACTCCATCTTATTTTCCCAGCTAAGACTGGACACACACGAAATTCCAGTGGCCTAGCTGTCGAATGTGCAGGCGGTGCAACTGCACCGGGGCCTACGAGCTGGAGAAGCTCAGGTCCCAGGCGAGGAGGAAGAGGTTTGGGGGAGTAGGGGGAGGGCACGACATTTGGGACAGGGGGGCCCATTGTCATTCATTGAATCAAGGCCCATGCCAACCGCCCGATATGCCACTGCACCAGTCTGAAGCTAATACCGGTGAAATGCCCAATTACTTGAGCGGTTGTCCGCTGCCGTAACGAAGACAATGGAGCGGTTTGCGTCGCCATGAATTATCAATGCCGAGGAATCTATTTATTTCCTTCCATTCACACGATCGGAACTCAAATTGCAGCCGCGCTGAGAAACGCATTAATATTTCATGGGGCTGCCGATATCTGTTGCCTCATGAATACAACATCAGCATTAACATGAATCTTTCAAACCCTGGAGGGTGGGGTTTGTTGCTCTGCCCCCGTGTGTGTGTGTGTGCGAGGCTTTGTAGTCAGGTCTGCCACTTGAATGTACGAGTAGCTTAGTGGGGAGTGGTCGCGTCGTGGTTAGTGCGCTGTCCTCCGAACCCACTGACCCTTAGTTGGATTCCCGCTCACGGCTAACGTCACCGATGACAATGTGAACAGGTCCTGGGCCTATCCAGCACCTGGTGCGGTGTGCAAACATCGCCAAAGGTCGCCCGGGCATGGTACTGACCACCCACCCCCTTCTGTGCCATGCTGGCCTTCATAGGTGCTCGCTCACAGCACTTGTCCCACATGTCTGTTAAGGCTATACGTGGGATTTGTGTCTGTAGTGTAGAGGTTAATGGACTGAACAACCAATCCGGATACCCAAGTTCGAATCTCGCTCACAGCCAACATCAACGGCGAATATCAGAACTGGTTGTGGGGCTTCCCCTAGACAGCACCACGCCTGGGCGACAAAGGCGGCGGTTTGACGTTGGGATGGTGACACCACCACCCCCTTGCGTGCCATGCCGGCATTAATTACGTGCGCACGAAGAGCACTTGCCAAAACAGCCTGTGCCGGCTATAAGGGGAGTCTTTGTATTTGTTGTGTATGGGTGCATGTGTGTGTGTGCGTGCGTGTGGGGGGAGCGGTGGTGCAGCGGTTAGCGCGCTGCGCTATAAACCTGGCGATCCGGGTTCGATTCCCGCTCACAGCCAACACTAGTGACGATTATCTGAACCGGTCCTGGGGCCTCCCCTAGGTCGACTCAGCCTGAAATTAGTACCTGGTGCGGTGTGTAAACATCGCCACTGGGGAGACAAAGGCGGTCGGGTGTGGTGCTGGCCACCCACCCCCTCGTGTACCGTTCTGGCCTTCATAGGTGCTCGCTAAAAGCACTTGCCCCTATAGTTTGTTAAGGCTATACGGGGATCTTTATCTTTGTGCATGCGTGTCTCTCTTGGACCCTGAATCGTTTCAGCGGTGCACAATGTTAATGCAAAGTCACGACTTGGCTACAATTCACGTTACTTAATTCACACACACGGACACACCACACGGACACACCACACGGACACACCACACGCACCGCGCTAAATAAACACGAAGACCTTTAGGTTAGCCTAAGACACCGTTCGAGCCAGTGCTGTTAGCGAGCACCTGTTAGAGGGTGGTGTGCCTTGCTTTGCCGCCTTTGTTTCCCCGGAAATAGTTTTCCACCCAGCATACCATGTACTCATTTAAGGCTGAGTTGATCTACAGTAGGCGCAGGATTGATTGAGATATCATTTGCCACTGATATTAGTCGTGGCCAGGATATCAGGCTGCAGGGTTCCTAAAACAGCTCACTCAGCGCACACATTTACACTCACAACCTGCTTAGTTCAACGATAACACTGGTCAACAACAAAAAAACATTTATTTCTGGCCTGGACTTTTGCAGCTGTTTTAGACTAATTTCAGGGTGCTGATTCAAAATCTGATCTCAGATTTGCTCTATCACATCTCATTTTATGCTATCGGCATACCCAATTTTCATTGATTTTACCCGAAATTAGTGTTAAAATATGGTGCTGTATTTTTAAGATAGTGTGTTTATGATATCATTTTATGTAGATATCCACATTTATTTAATATTTTTCTTCTGCAGTTTTTATTGAAAATGCAATATTTGATATCTCAAAAACCTGATGTGATAGACAAAAACTGATGCCAGATTTGGAATCAGCAGCACCCCAACATTACCTTAAAACCGTTGGAATACCTTATGCTAGAAAAAGTGTGTTGACCAGTGTAAGTGTTGCTTGCTTAATTACAAAAATATATTACACGAATTTTAGTATTTACCTTGCTGCACTGGTATATTATACCCTTCCATGTACATGCATCATGCTCGGCCACAATTACAGGATTTAGCCATTACATTTTGTTCCAGCTGTTGTAAATTGGATTTCTGGGCACGCGGTCACATTTAATTTGGTTTCACGACACATCACCACTTCATCGTTCAATATTGCGTTTGCACGTGAGCCATGTTTCAAAGTTCAAACAAAGCCGTTCATAGATGTGCATACAAATATAAAATAAATCCAGCAATACGCAGAAACCACGAAGCCAATTTTTGAAAAGGCAAAATTTTGCAATACAGCAACTTAATCAAGACCGCGTAGGTATTCGTGTCTGCGCTGCAGCAAAGATCTCCCCCGTGTTTCTGTGTCGTGCTGTTACGCGCGCTGTACTAGTAACACATTGGCACTTTTTATTTAAGTAACAAATCTCATTAATTGGCTGTGTCGGGTGGTGGCGGGTTTAACGTCACATTTATATTTACGCGATCTAACATGAAAAATATAACTACGTGTTTATTAACTCAGCCTGATTACCAAGGATTGCATAACAAAAACCGAGTCAAATTTGTGGGTTTTTTTTACCGACTACTTAATTTGGCATAATTCTAACTCTGAGATAGCATAAAACAAATTATTGGTTTGATAGCTGACAAAGGCTCGTTGTTGGGCATGTAAAATGAGTCATAATTCTAGATCGAGAGACATTGAAGTGATGTCATCATCATCTTCTTCCAGAGCTGCAGGCTGCAAAGTTGCAAAAAGAGATGTATTTATTTTATAACTAGATGTTTATAAAACAATCCAGAAAATGTATTTGTTGGTGGGGGGTGGAATAAAAAAACAATGGCACAAAACTACAATTTAATCAACTAATCTTTCAATTAACCACATTTCACAGAGACAGAATATACATGCCAAACATGACGTATTAATTATCTTCTTACACTACTGTTACAATGTATCACTGGTCACCATCCACGCAGTACATATATGCATGTTTGACTATAGATTATAAACGTTGACAGTGTATTACTTTGTAAAACAAAAAAAAACCATAACCAGACTGCTTTGACTTCCAACGTCATGAATATCCCCGTTGGATTCCTGCAGAGAAATACATGGGCGTCTGCCTGTCCGTTGCACAGGTCTTCTTACGGACATCCAGTGCCAGTCCAAGCGAATGCGCAAGCATCCCAAGCGGGCGATGGCGAGGGCAGGCCTCTCGGATGATGTCTCGGCCACCGTGGGACCCCACAATCTCGCGCCAGGTACCACGGTCAGCAGGCAACTGGTGAGACCCATGGAGACGAGTTACACCTCGCGTCCTGCCTTTACCTGTGAATGTTATTTCGTCAAATCTGTTGGTAAAACAACAGGCCTGGTCGATTAGATGGATGCTGCTCTCTGCACAGTGAGACCCATGGAGACGAGTTACACCCCACGTTCTGCCTTTACCCGTGAATGTTATTTCGTCAAATCTGTTGGTAAAACAACAGGCCTGGTCGATTAGATGGATGCTACTCTCTGCACAGTGAGACCCGTGGAGATGACTTCCACCCCACATCCATGACTTTAGCTGTGAATATTAATTTGTCAGACCTGCTGGTAAAGCAACAGGCCTGGTCTATTAGATGGATGCTCCTCTCTACACAGTGAGACCCGTGGAGATGACTTCCACCCCACATCGCTGCCTTTAGCTGTGAATATTAATTTGTCAGACCTGCTGGTGAAACAACAGGTCTGGTCGATTAGATGGATGCTACTCTCTACACGGTCACTCGCTGGATTTTCAGCCAGCACAGACGGAATCTTTAAAATTCATGTGAAGAACTACAAATGATGTTCGTAGCAACGAGATTGATTTCATTCTGGTAGGAAAACCTCCAAATTGTGAGAGATAGCTCTGGTCCTCAACACGTTCACAAGAAGGGGGTGATCAAACACTGGTGGGAAGCAAGTTGCCCTTCAGCAAACCAGAGAGATGATATAATGCACTGTATGTAAAACCAAGATAGTTTACCTAATAAAGAGGTATCTAGATCTATAAGTGGCTGGTTTTAGGCAAACTCTAGTTAGCAGATTCAAATGGGGAAAGGATGAAATTGGTTAAATGGATGTCACCACTTTAAATAATGAATTAACCATCATAGGAATGGATAATGCATTGAACTTGTATTTTTAACCACAGCAGTAGGAGTGATAATTCTCCCTATTTCAATAAATATTACATATTTAAATTTCGATTTAAATCTTTCGTGACTGCAGGTATTCATCTTCTTGGTTCTTTCGGTAAAGTCACGTAGAAGGGAAATAATAAAATAATAAAAATAAAACATAATAAAATACAATTCTCACGACGTTTCGGCCACAACGCAAGCAGCCGTCCTCAGGTGAAGAACAGGGCTGTCGGAAAGACAGCGTCCATTTTATTATGTTTTATTTTTATTATTTTATTATTTCCCTTCTACGTGACTTTACCGAAAGAACCAAGAAGATATTACATCTTTCTTGACAAAAAAGAGTCGTGGAACTTAACGATTTCCCCCGACAGAAATAGTTTTCCCTTCATGACCGCTTCTGGAATCGTATCCCTTTTGACTCAGATAGGAAGCCAGGGTCTCACTGGTGGTGACTCTTTGCACTGAATTTCGCTTACGTTTGTTTTCTTAAATGCTTGACATGAAAACAAACGGATTATGCCGCTTACCCACTCTCCGTATCAGTGCTGATTGGTGAAGTAAAAAATAAAATCACAGTCAAGATAAATGCATGGTTTGTTTTTGTACAGTCGGTGTTAGCAACATTTCTATTATAATTTTTATCATTTTTATTATTTATTTTTATTTTTTTCCTACGTGACTTTACCGAAAAAACCTAAGAGTATGATTCCTTGCAGTCACGAAAGCTGCAAATCTAGAGTTAGCAACACCACCTACTCGCCACTCCTCCTCCCTGGTGTCCCGTACCAAGCTCAATAGGCGCCCACTTGTAGGCTATATAGGGGACCTTTGCCTTTGTAAGTACGTGTGTAATTACAAATGTTCTACCGAGTGCCTATCGTGTGAAAACCCGTTGTCACTTAACCCCTATGAAGGCCGGTAGGATGTACAAGGGTGTGTTGTGGCCAACAACATTCCCAGCCACCTTTGTCTCCCGAGTGCTGACGTATTTACATATTGCACCAAGTATTAATTTAGGGCTGAATCAACCTAGGCAAGACTCGGCACTGGATTAAATAATCACAACTGATGTTAGCGGTGGTCGTAAATCGAATTTGGGCTGTCGATTTCATAGCGCAGTGTGCTAACCGCTACACCACCATTATCCTCACACACACGCTCACACACACAATCACAAACGTGCACACACACGCTCGTACACACCACAAAAAAAACACGCTCACACACAACATTAACAGTTTCATTTTCTTTCAGTGCCCTGCAGTGGGGAAATTGCAATGGCAGGTTCCAGGCACAGGGCAATCTATAATTCTACACAATTTCCCTTCACAACACCCCACCCCCGCGGTGGCAGCAGCAGCGGTGGTGCGATGTTTTCGCACGCACGGTTTTTATTTTTCAGCACAGGCCCAAGTATCCCGACGTCCCGTAATTGATGAGGCCCTCGGTGTTGGTCATTACAAATGGCCTGCCTCCGGCCACTTCCTAACAACTCTCGTTTCACTGGAAGGAGGCCTCATCCCATCAATAACCTTTATTATGGCCCATTTATTTACACTCACGGTGACCTGTAGCCTGAGGCACTGGCCGCGGATGCCGGCCCAGGAGGCACTTGGGGCAGAGATTAGCGCAGTTGGCAAGACGCGCATCGTGAAATTTAATATATTTTCTCCCGCCTGCAAAACGCAATTGATGAAAGCAGTCAAATGCGGCTCCCAATGCCGGATGCAAGCTGCGTGCGTGCGAAAGCAGACGGCAACATCGCTCCACGCCTCCACCGTGAACATGTTTGAGGGATGAGCAATGATTGTGGTTGACCAATTTTGCTCACCATGTCAGTGGAAATGCTAAATTATTTTTCCTGTCGGAGGGAATATGTAAGTCATAATACGTTGAACTGGGCTCTCTGAATTATTGAAGCAATTGACACACCGTCTCTGTGTGTCTATGTTGTGTGTCTCTCTCTCTCTGTGTCTCTGTGTTGTCTCTCTCTCTGCTTGTGTGTCTGTCTGTGTGTCTCCGTGTCTGTGTTTTGTCTCTCTCTCAAATTTAGTTCTACCTGATGGCGACTGCTTGTGTTGCAATCGAAACGTCGTATTCTATTATTTAATTTATTTTCTTTCTACGTGACTTTACCGAAAGAACCAAAGAGTAATTCCTGCAGTCACGAAAGCTTCAAATCAAGTTTCAATTGATAACGCTGCTGATGATTGTTTTGTTCTCCTATGTGTCGCTAAATGGAAAGCAATGAGCAGGGCTTGGTGAAGTCAATCCATTACTTTTCTTACTTGTCAATGTGATGTCTCTGATGTGTGTTTATTTCTCTGATCCACTGGCCATCATCCATACAAAGCCATGTGTCCTGTCGAAGCCCACTTATTTTTCTGAGCAGTCAAATTGACGTTGAATGTTCATTGTTCTCCCATCTATACGTTGCTAATGCTGTCTCTCAGTGGAATTCCACGCATGCATCTCTCCATGCGTCTTTGTGCACGTTTCAGCTTTTCGTTCAGTCATCTTTGCTCATGTCCATTATAAAAAAAAAAACCTCTAGAACGTCTGAACATTTTTCGTTTTTTGTTTTTGAAATTGCATGCAATTTGACAAGACGGGGACGTCGTGTGTGCGCGTGTGTTTAGATGGCGGATCAGGATGAGTGGGTGCTGACGGGCGAACAGCAGAGACTCATTGACTTGATCGTGGGGGAACACCGCAAGTACAGGATCCCGCACGACACCTTGCAGAAGTTCGTCGTAAGTGTGACATCGCTGAGATGCAAACCTTTCTCCTTAATTTACAGGACCAACATTTTTTTTTTAATTGAAACACACGATTGCGCACGTTGTGATTCATGCTTTCATATTGTCATTGTATCTCCGTGGCATTTGTAAGCTGATTCAACGCGAACCAAGCAAGTTCAACAAACCGTCGCCAAAATATTGGGGATACATTTGAGAGCAAAAATAACTCTACTCTTTGGTTCTTTCGGTAAAGTCACGTAGGTATAAAATAAAATTAATCACGACGTTTCGGGCGCAACACAAGTGTCCATCATGGACCCCTGGAATCACGAAAGCTTCGAATAAAAAATAACGATTGAGAGGTGGCCGTGACTCGGAGAGGCCTTCATCCAGCAGCGGATTGACTATGGATGCTACTGCTGATAACATAAAAAAAACAAAGACATTTAAATGATTTCCACGACCGCTGTTGCCGTTGTTGTTTTGCTTGCGCTGCTGCTGCTGCTGTTGCCGTGAGACAGACAACAGGGAGAGACAACCTCACAGAGGCAGCGCGTACCGGGTCTGGCAGCGCATGAACACGAATTGCCACGGCAAATGTCACGCCGGCCCGGCCGAACACGTTGCACATGGGCGCGACGTTTGTAACAAAAAATGAAAATCGCAGCTCATCAATAATGCATGCGAGCCAGGAGCCCCGACTGGGCTCGTTGCTGTCACTGAGGTTGGAGGAGGAGGGGGGGGCCCGCCCGCCCCCCACCCTATTTGCAATATGCCTGATTGACAGGGGACAGGGCTTGCTTACATTAGGCGTGTCGGGGGTTGAGTCCCCCATAGGACCCATATCGGTGTTTATTACACCGTGTTCACCACCTGCACCGGCACCCCCCCCCCCCCCCCCCCGTTCTCGCACCCCTCCCCTTTGTTGATGAGTCTGCCAGAACAATCATCTCGCGTAGGGGATTGCATGCATTTGTTGTTTTGAAAGCACAGCTGCCGGGCACATGCCCCCACCGCCACCCCACAATTTGGTCCGAAACGTCAAGCGGGCAGCAACAAACGGCGCCATTTAATATATGAGATTTAGGACGTGTCTCGGAGCAAGGCGATACACGCTTGGGGGAGGAGAAGATGGCAGGGAACACCAACGCCGAGCAGTGCGGGGAGGGGGGAGATGCACAAAGAGAAGTGTTGTGACCTGCAGTGTGGTGAGTGGGTGGGTGAGTGTGTTGTTGTGACCTGCAGTGTGGTGAGTGGGTGGGTGAGTGTGTTGTTGTGACCTGCAGTGTGGTGAGTGGGTGGGTGAGTGTGTTGTTGTGACCTGCAGTGTGGTGAGTGGGTGGGTGAGTGTGTTGTTGTGACCTGCAGTGTGGTGAGTGGGTGGGTGAGTGTGTTGTTGTGACCTGCAGTGTGGTGAGTGGGTGGGTGAGTGTGTTGTGACCTGCAGTGTGGTGAGTGGGTGGGTGAGTGTGTTGTTGTGACCTGCAGTTTGGTGAGTGGGTGGGTGAGTGTGTTATTGTGACCTGCAGTGTGGTGAGTGGGTGGGTGAGTGTGTTGTTGTGACCTGCAGTGTGGTGAGTGGGTGGGTGAGTGTGTTGTTGTGACCTGCAGTGTGGTGAGTGGGTGGGTGAGTGTGTTGTTGTGACCTGCAGTGTGGTGAGTGGGTGGGTGAGTGTGTTGTTGTGACCTGCAGTGTGGTGAGTGGGTGGGTGAGTGTGTTGTTGTGACCTGCAGTGTGGTGAGTGGGTGGGTGAGTGTGTTGTTGTGACCTGCAGTGTGGTGAGTGGGTGGGTGAGTGTGTTGTTGTGACCTGCAGTGTGGTGAGTGGGTGGGTGAGTGTGTTGTTGTGACCTGCAGTGTGGTGAGTGGGTGAGTGAGTTGTTGTGACCTGCAGTGTGGTGAGTGGGTGGGTGAGTTGTTGTGACCTGCAGTGTGGTGAGTGGGTGGGTGAGTGTGTTGTTGTGACCTGCAGTGTGGTGAGTGGGTGAGTGAGTTGCTGTGACCTGCAGCGTGGTGAGTGGGTGGGTGAGTGTGTTGTTGTGATCTGCAGTGTGGTGAGTGGGTGAGTGAGTTGCTGTGCTGCAGTGTGGTGAGTGGGTGGGTGAGTGTGTTGTTGTGACCTGCAGTGTGGTGAGTGGGTGAGTGTGTTGTGACCTGCAGTGTGGTGAGAGGGTGAGTGTGTTGTTGTGACCTGCAGTGTGGTGAGTGGGTGGGTGAGTGAGTGAGTGGGTGAGTGTGTTGTTGTGACCTGCAGTGTGGTGAGTGGGTGGGTGAGTGTGTTGTGACCTGCAGTGTGGTGAGTGGGTGAGTGTGTTGTGACCTGCAGTGTGGTGAGTGGGTGGGTGAGTGAGTGAGTGGGTGAGTGTGTTGTTGTGACCTGCAGTGTGGTGAGTGGGTGGGTGAGTGTGTTGTGACCTGCAGTGTGGTGAGTGGGTGGGTGAGTTGTTGTGACCTGCAGTGTGGTGAGTGGGTGAGTGTGTTGTTGTGACCTGCAGTGTGGTGAGTGGGTGAGTGAGTTGCTGTGACCTGCAGTGTGGTGAGTGGGTGGGTGAGTGTGTTGTTGTGACCTGCAGTGTGGTGAGTGGGTGAGTGTGTTGTTGGGACCTGCAGTGTGGTGAGTGGGTGGGTGAGTGTGTTGTTGTGACCTGCAGTGTGGTGAGTGGGTGAGTGAGTTGCTGTGACCTGCAGTGTGGTGAGTGGGTGAGTGAGTGGGTGGGTGAGTGAGTGAGGGAGTGTGTTGTTGTGACCTGCAGTGTGGTGGGTGAGTGGGTGAGTGTGTTGTGACCTGCAGTGTGGTGAGCGGGTGGGTGAGTTGTTGTGACGTGCAGTATGGTGAGTGGGTGGGTGAGTGTGTTGTTGTGACCTGCGGCCCGGTGGTTGAACACTGCGATGCACGAGATGAAACAGTCAACATTGGCGAATCGAGTCCTCGGTATGGGTGGAGGAATCAACGGGCTGAAGTTCACGGGAACAGTAGCCGTGGCAGTAGCGACAGAAGAGTGACAAGGAGGTTACTGCCTGCCAGTGCACGTGTGACTGGAGTGGATCAATGAGCGTTGGTTCACAAATCAACCGGACTGATTGACGTTGAATTCCATCAAGCGTGGGACTCATACAGCACGCTTTGTGATACTCTGTTGGCAGTGGTGCATGAACATAGAACACACAAAAGGCCAACACGTTCGCTAATAGCACTGCCCTGCATGGAATATAAAGCAAGTGGAGTTGTGGACAATTCACATTTATCACAATCCTCTCTGCTAATGAAGAAGAGCCATTGCCCCAAACCATCACCTCTTATGTCTTATTCTCATGTTAGGGCAGTGCAATTGATGAATATGTTGAGTTTTTATGACCTTTTTGGGAGATTGAAACATCTCTCCTTCCCTCCCTCCTCCCTCGTAGCTGAAACTTGTCTCCGTTGTCAATGTATGAATTTTGTTGAACTTCTTTCGCGCCGTACGTAGCCAATACAGTTACACTAATCTGTCAACATAGTTACACTAATCTGGTCACACACACTCGCACGGCTATCGGATATAAGAAGCGACCCCCAAAGTGTGCCTTGTCATCCACAAAATGCGGAATTGCTCAAATATGCAGTTCCCACATTGTCCCTTGGCAACTTGTTATTGAGTCATTAACAAATGATATTAAATACACGCTATTACGTGCATATAATATTTTATTATTTTTATTATCGCACAGCCCTTTGTCAATCCACTGCTGGGTGAAGGCCTTCGCCCCACGCCTAGTCGGTCGTGAGGGTAGTTCGACCATACTTCACCACACTGGTCGTGGCCGTTTGGTGACGTCACCGCTTCGGATATCACCGCACGCATTAGACGTGAGGCCCGGGAATCGAACTCGGGCGCCGTCGCGTTCGTGGCGCGGTGCGCTAACCACTGCGCCACCACTCCGAGCTGAAATTGTAGCCGTGGCTTCATAATGAAATCCTGACGTTGTGTGCACGTTGTGTGCACGTGTGGAGCAGTTTCAAGAATACTGGGAAGGAGGTGACAAGGAGAAGTTGTGGGAGATCGCTACCATCCAAGTCCAGGTGCTGGTGGAGTTCACCAAAAACCTCCCAGGTAGGGGCTGCACACACACCTCATCACACCTCATCATCATCATCATCTAATATTGATGCCACGCCTCCCGTGGAGTACGTCTCGCGGTGCCCTGTGGGACCCCCCAGTGGCAGCTGTCCCTGTGAGGCCCACCAAGGCTTCCTAGTTAAGACACCTGAAGAAATTCATCAACGTTTGGCACATGACGTCACCACGCATGGTCTTACTCTTTACTCGAACGACGTCTTGGCAGCTCCACTGCGCGCTGTGAAGCAAGCGGAAAGTTACTAATGGTTAATGCACCCCCAGCATTGACCAGGTTCGCAGCTGGGCTCAAACCGCTCTACCGTTCGACCATGTCACCTCCCAAGTGCCATTTTGTCGAAAAACTACTGCAAGTATTCTATATTTGAAGCGTTCCTGACTGCAAGTATTCATATTCTTAGGTTTTTTCAGTAAAGTCACGTAGGTAAAAAATCTAAATTAATTTTACCTATGTGACTTTACCGAAAAAACCTAAGAATACTGCGATTATATTATACGCTGGGTTGTCTGGGGTGGATCTATGGCATAGTAGTTAGCACACTGCACTATAAAACCAGCAAGCTGAGTTGTCCATAATAGAGGGTTTTTTTTAGGTTAGATCGCGCAACTACAAATGTGTTGTTAAACATGCCACCACTCGACACAGCCAATTAGTAAGGTTTAACACGTTAACAAAACGTGCAAATTTGTTACACGTTCAGCACGCAGGTGTGTTGGAGGGTAAATCCACAACATTTACAATTCGAGTCCGACGTTTCTCCAGTAATTACAACCAGTCCTCATCAGGCGACAGACAGAATTGTGGCGAAATCCTCCTCACTGTCTCGGTCTTAACTAGAGGGACGAATGTGCATGTTAAATTTCGATTTAAAACTTTCGTGACTGCAGGGATTCATCTTCTTGGTTCTTTCGGTCGTGAGAATTATTTTATTATGTTTTATTTTCATTATTTTATTACTTCCCTTCTACGTGACTTTACCGAAAGAACCAAGAAGAAGAATGTGATGTTGTCACTGTTAGGCAATCAGGTACAAAGACCAGAGGAAGGGAGGGAGGGGGTTAATGTATTCATATAAATTACAATGGTTATGTGTTATTGGTGTGGTTATTCACAGTAATCAACCTTACGAATTGGCCGTGTCGAGCAGCGGCGGGTTTAACGACACATTGTTATTGATAGACAGCCAGGCTTGTTTTACCATGTTTAGTTGTTTTCTCCTTTTCACACTATTGTTATGTAGGCCAGGTTTAGTCACAAACCGTACCTCTCCATAACAAAGGCTCACCCTCTTAAGCCTCACCTTACCATATGAATAAAAAAGTGTGCCGTACTTAGCCCTTCCCCCCCTCTCCAACCATTATATATACGGAGTGGTAGCTCCTGCAATCTCTGATTTACTTGATACAGCTGTCGTGGCTGTGACGGTTCCACCTGAAGACGGAAGCTTGTGTTGCCTCCGAAACGTCGTGATTTTTATTTTATTTTTATTTTATTAATTTTAATGTTTTACCTACGTTATTTTACCGAAAAAAACCTAAGAATAAGACACATTTATATTTACGTGTTCTAACCCAAGAAAAAACACTCTGGTGGATAATATTTGTCGGGAAAGCCTACGCGTTAAACTGACCTCGGTTGTATTCCTGATCACGGCTACCATCGGCGGCGAGTGATATTGGAACCCATCCTGGGCCCCCTCGCTCAACAGCGTCTGAGATCTGCTTTAGAATGTGCACATTCAGGGTGATCTGATTGTAGGCGTCATGGTGATTTATCATAGGCCAATAGATGATGCAATTTTGTTTTTAAATCCATTGCCGTGCATGAATCAACTGCCCCTGTGATTGTGGATCAAAGACAGTGGCGTGATGGATGTGCAGACTTTCCACTGAGAACGCATCAAGAGCTGATTTATCAGTGATCGAGTCTGCAGTGTCAGTGCAGGAGTTGAGTTTAAAAGGGCCCTTGTGAGTTCCATTGAGGCATAGGGCCGAGGCACAAGCTGAGCCAGTGCGCAGCCTCGGCCTAGCTCGGCGGTGTGAGTTAAATCACTTATGCAGCCGACAGAATAATATCTGAGATCCCACGTTGGTGCGATATTGCGGAGAGCGCGAAATTGGATTTGTGCCCCAAAAGGGGCGGCAAAATCTGCGGGGAAAGTCGACGTACGGATGCGGAGCACGTATCGTTACGAAGGGAAGATCCGACCCAGTCAAGAGCAATTCGCAGCCATGGTAGGAGATATCCGGGAATGACTTTAATTTCCGTGAAGATATGTCACTTTAGCGTCACAAACAACTTTACGGTGAAAATTGTCGACACCGGTGGTGACGGTGCAGTCGAACAATTATCTCACCCACGGCCTTTAAGAAGCCCCCCGCAGCGGGAATGGTTGGGTCGGCACGTAGGACAACTGGTCTCCTTCTCCCCGCTACCACGCCCTCTCGCAGCCTCTCCAAAATTCCTGGTATCGCCCAAATAAATGAATTGCATTACCTCTTTTCATCCAAAACAGCAGCGTAGCTTTCTCCAATCAATGTTTTTTTGTTGTTGTAGATAGAAGCGTTGTATAAGACAAATGTGAGCACTGTTGATTAAATATCATTATTTGGCTTCCAAAATATGTTCATACAAGCGAGCCATAACTGTCAGTGCAATCTCAAAAGCCACCAAATTTGTGCTGATTGATGAATATAAAATACGCAATTGAATTATTGCTGTACCAGGTTTGCCAATTTCACGTCCGTGTAAGCGGCATATTAATTTGACAATCCGCTTTAAACATTTCAGAGCGAATTGACCAATTAGGCAATGCGCCGCAGCCTTCCTCCACGGTGGAAGCCTTCAGTGCCGGAACCCGTCGTGTTAAATTAACTCGGTGTGTCCACCGATTTTATTCTTTCTCCCGATTGACACTGTCAACGTCAACGTTCATCAAATAGGAACCCGACGCACCCCACCCCCGGTTTCCAGCGACGCAATTTCCCCCGGGGCCACAAGGCCTCCACGGGACACGAGGATGAATTCTTCTCGGCGCTCGCTCGGAGTTATTAACGGCCACGTTTATTTATATATTTACACATTTATTACTCTAACGAAGTCAGGGTGTAACTAATTGAGCAGTGTGTGTGTGTGGGTGGGTTTATTTTTTTTGTCGGATAAACGCTGGAGGGAGGGGAAATTGAGAAACAAAGTGAGTTAGCTGACCCTAGAGATCACGCGCTCTGTCTGAATGCAGTCAGTCGATCGGCAGGTCGCGTATGGTGGGATAAAGTGTGGGTACTCCCACCCTCTTAGAGGGACTCTGCAGAATTATTGACAGCCGATTGTCATTTCCACCACAGTGGCATGAGAATGTAATTTCAGTGCTGCCCCCTTTACGTTACCGACTAACTCGACCAGTCGCCCCAGCTCTACTCAAAGGCAAAGATCTCTCCTATACCCTGATCAGACTGCAGAGGCAACTGCTGTTAGCGAGCACCTATGAAGGCGGCACAGCACACGGGTGGCCAGCAGCACGCCCAGCCGCCTTTGTCTCCCGAATGGCGATGTTTACACATCGCACCAGGCCCTGGACCGGTTCAGATAATCCATCACTGCTGTTGACCGTGAATAGGAATCGAACTCGGAACACCGGGTTTGTAGCACAGTGCACTAACCAGCTAGACTACCGGTCCCCACAAAGATAAAGATCCCCCGTATAGCATTAACAGAATGTAGGGGCAAGTGTTGTTAGCGAGCACCTATGAAGGCCAGAACGGTACACGAGGGGGTGGGTGGTCTACACCACGCCCGACCGCCTTTGTCTCCCCATTGGCGATGTTTACACACCGCACCAGGTACTCATTTCAGGCTGAGTCAACCTAGGGGAGGCCCAGGACCGGTTCAGATAATCGTCACTGGTGTTGGCCGTAGAGCGGGATCGAACCCGAGTTACCAGGTTCATAGCGCAGCGCGCTAAGCACTACACCACCGCTCCCCCCACAGACACACACACACATGCGTCCCACCTCCAGTAACCCTCTCTCCCACCTCGCCGACCTCTGCAGGCTTCCAGACCCTGGATCACGAGGACCAGATCGCGCTGCTCAAGGGATCGGCCATCGAGGCGATGATCCTGCGCTCAGCCCAGGTCTACAACAGCCGGGCGACGGATCCGCACGCCATGCTCATCAACGAGAAGAAGATGCGCACACTGAGTGAGTCCATGCATCGTGCCGGCGTGCGCGTTCGTAATGCAGAGGTCGCCTGTTCGATCTCCCGGCGTGGCTGTTGAAGCAACGGGCGAGTCATCTTCTTGGTTTTTTCGGTAAAGTCACGTAGAAGGGAAGTAATAAAATAATAAAAATAAAACATAATAAAATAATTCTCACGACGTTTCGGCTACAACGCAAGCAGCCGTCTTCAGGTGAAGAATGAGACACTGCCAAGCTTGGTGGAAGAAGAGCGCCTTAACAAAAGAATGTGCACATTAAAGAATGTGCATATTCTTTTGTTAAGGCTCTCTTCTTCTTCCACCTCCAACTCAGCTTATATATAAGCTCCTAGCTTGGCAGTGTCTCATTCTTCACCTGAAGACGGCTGCTTGCGTTGTAGCCGAAACGTCGTGAGAATTATTTATTATGTTTTATTTTTATTATTTTATTACTTCCCTTCCACGTGACTTTACCGAAAAAACCAAGAAGATGAATCCCTGCAGTCACGAAAGCTTTAAATCGAAATTCAACGGGCGAGTGTCTTGAGACGCAGCTGACTCTGATCGCTTAGTGGTGGGGTGAAGATGTGTATGCCAGCCTCGTCGCGTGTGGGTGGGTGGGTCATCGTGAAAAGGTAAATAGCTCTCGAGGGGCCCTTCCTCAGCGCGCTCTCGTTGAGGTTCTTTCTCCAGAGCAAGACATTGCGGGGGCCGCGCCTTTACCGTTCATGCGTTGTTATGATTACTACGCATTTTTATGGAGAACTTCATCTCGCACTGAATATTTTAAAGGTCACTGGTAGGCTGGAGCAGGCCTAGAGACAGGACTGTAGAGTAGCCACACTCACATCGTAAATGTTGTGGCTTGGCTCTCCAACACACCGGTGGTGCTGCACTAGTAACGCATTGGCACGTTCTGTTTACGTGACAAGCCTTACTAATTGGCTGTGTCGGGTGGTGGCGGGTTTAACGACACGTTTATATATTTACGCGATCTAACCCCAAAAAAAAAACTATATTGTGGAGGAATTATTTACTGGGCGATGGCTACGCACGACGAGGCGAGCGTTGGTGAATCACACCAATGTTGTGATGTCCCCTTCCTGTTGGCTTCGAGGTGCCTTACCCTGGTTTGCCAGGAGAGGGCAGTACAGCAAATGTGGATCTCACTTGTTCCGTCTGTATTGGATGCAGCGTTGCTCCCTCGCATGTTAGGGTTTTCCCGAGGTGCTCCGGTTACCTCCTTCATCTAAACACTCATTTATTGACTGATAACACCTCGGTATATGGAGTATGCCAGAGCTTGGGCAGTTGTTGGTGCCGGCTGGCTGCGTGGTTGCCTTCCCGCGTGAACTGTGGTTCCTCGCAGCCCTGAGTTGTTCCCTCTCTTCGAGAGTGGGTGACTATTGTGCATGTGATAAGTTACATTATAGATAGATATATAACTATTATATATTTTTTGCTATGCAAAAGGACCATTCCCTCCGAAACGTCACCTATTATGTATATGTTCCCTTTAAAAGCAGTGTTACAGAAGGAGTGTGTTGGATGTTTTTGTCCTTCGAGCATTTGCGCCACTGCCAATGCAGTGTGACGAAGTGCTCGGTGCACAGAGCGATGAACACCAAAAGTGCATCGCTGAGCGAGGCAGGAACAGATTGTGCAAAAATGGGATGCACACACCATGTGCAATTCTGTGCCAGGGAAGGCATAATGAAATAATACCAACGTTGATTGATGTAATGTGTTCTTTACATTGTGGATTTAAACAGCAGCAATTATACAATGCATGAGATGTATGCAAAATAACGTCTAGATATTTTAACAATTTACATTTTAGATGTTTCATAGGGCATGTTCAGCCAAAGGCTCTTGGAAAGTGAGGGCTCATTCAGCAGTCTCAATGCTATTCCCAGCAGAGCAGCACAGCTTTGTGTTGGGAAAATGAATGCGAAATGTCACATCATCCGTCACCCTATCGGCTTGCATTGAATTACAAACAAAATTCCAGGCTGGGAATAGAGCCATGACTTTTGATGTCCTTCGGTGATGCCTCCTTTGTTTGCAAATAAACTTTGTAATTTATTTTTGAAAAAAATCATTATTATTTCACAGGCTGAGAAAAGCACCCACCCACACACACGCACACTTAACTCACACGTTTAAATTTGCCACGTTGCCACTGTCAATTGGGAATTTTGTTCCCGTGTGATTAAATGTCGTATCAGTTGTGATTTCACGGGTCCGTCACGCCCAGAAAACCGCCTCGTCAATTTGGAAGGAAATTGCCGGCACGAGGCACGCTGCCTGTCTTGAGAGAAAGCGTGCATTTGAATGGGCCCCATTACCGGCTATGATCCGGGTCTGTTGTAGGAGAGTGGAATGATGCTTCTTGCCTCTAGACACGAACGGATGTTGCCTCTTAAGCAGGCCAAACGTATACGTAACGATGATTCACCTCCCCCCACCAAGTGATTCAGTGCATGGTTGCAATAGAGGGGTCATGGTCCAAGTCAAATATACGCCGCCGCATGTGTTTTTAACATTGTAGTGAATGTTAGTGACCACATGAAAGCCGTTACGTACAGCACACACGAATTAAAACGCATTGATTCTTGTGCACGATGTCCCGTGCACCTAGTGTGATGAACAAGCGATACTAACCCCGATTAATCGACGCATCGTTAAATCTATTACGCACACGCGAATGACCGTTAGGTTAGCAGAGGGATGTGTAGGGATAGCCTTTTTTTTCTCCTGACACTCCAGATATTGATTTTATAGCATACTTACTGGATTGCACTAACACTGCTCGTGGCATTTATATTGGACAAAGTGGTCTAACCATTTGCACATCTATAATACAGGTTTTTTAGGGTTAGATCGTGTAAATATAAATGCGTCGTTAAACCCGCCACCACGCGACACAGCCAATTAGTGAGGTTTATTACGTAAACAGAACATGCCAATTCGTTACAAAATGTAAAATCCGAGTACGACGTTTCTCCAGTAATTACAACTTTTTTCATCAGGCGACAGCCAGATTTGTGGAAAAATGGCAAGCATTTGCACCTGCTTACCATAGCGTGGAAATGGTTGTATATTCCCCCACACTTATTAGAGATTGTGACTCGCAATGCAAGTGGCGGTGGCTTCTTTGCTGTTGTGACGAGTGCACTATTGCACTAATGAGGATTCTTGTATTTGTACGTGACAAAGAGATAGGCGCTGGTACAAAAAAAAAACGTACTGCAATATCGCCTCTTTCTTTCTCTCTGATGTCGAGCAGCAGTATGTTTTTTTTTCTTCTTTTTATTCTATTTGCATGCTCCTTTCATATATCAAGCCTTTCCGTTCATTAGCATGCCCGGGTACTGCTGCTATTGCATCGCTAAATCCTGCAGATTGCACGTGCGGCATTTTGATGTGATCTCATTAGCATAGAAAATCAAGACCGCACAAGCCAAGTCAAAAATATTACCTATTGACATTTACAAGTGACCAACAAACAGAGGCATTTTCAAAGGCCAACATTTTTCAAATTTACGACCGTCATGAATTGAACGTTACATTTTGCAGGAGTGCTGTGATGCGGCAGCCATTGCTGCGATGTAGAACATAGCATATAGTTATGTTAAATGTGATTTTTAAAAAAATATATTAATTGACAGTTCTTTGTCATTCCACTGCTGGATGAAGTGAAATCAGGTTGTTGTGTTCACAGCACAGTGCGCTATGACCACTGTGACACCACTCCAACCAGGTATATATTACATATTCCGAATCTAATTTTTTGCATTTTTTTTTACCTCAATTTTATTTCCAGTTACGCGAACGGGAATTGTTTTTATTGCATGTAAGGGGCTCACATTTTTTGCATTTTCTTTTACCTTAATTTTATTTACAGTTACGCGAACGGGATTTTCTTTAATTGCATGTAATGGGCTCACATCATTCCTACCGTTCCCGGCAATGCAAAAATATCAAACGGATTCACAATTGGATTGATTCTCAACACTGAATTGAGACGATTCATCAACTCTTAGTGGGAGCGATTTTTGCACGCACGAACCTCGGATTGAATGTCCCCATAGCCTCCGAATGTATTAGTTAGTCACACTTCCATTCTGCAAGTGAGTAATGACTATTATTACCTCTGTTACATTACGTACCAGCACCAGGGCTTCATATAGACACCAACGAATTTAAATTATAGCTCTTTGGATTTTTATTGTAGGAAACCGTGGTGAGACTCACCAAAGTAAACTCCATGTAATTATGCATTTGGTAATCGGTGAAAATATATATTTTATTTCTTTAATTTCAATTGTGCTTTTAACACGAGACTAAGAATCCATTCGGGACCCCCGCTGAGTATTGTGCTTCGTGTGTCAGAGAAAAAGCTGCAGAAGAGAATTTCACCGGGGACTTCTCAAATAAAAAACCCACATCACGTGGCCTTTGCATCCTTTACACAGTAGGGGGCACACTTTCCCACACACTCTGCACATAGCGGTTAAACCATATATTTAAAAACATTCCCATGCCTGGAATTTGGCCTACTAAAGTGCAAAACAAATTTACCGTGATGGATTTTTTTGCGTGCGTGTGTGTGTGTGTTAAGTCATTGCACGCGTAATCGGTGGCTGAAAGCTGGATTTAAACCCAGATTTTTTTCGTGGTACCAGCTCAACTCTCTCACCTCAGGCTCAGACTTTATTTCAGCTGGCAAGGCCCCATTGAGCTAAACAGCTCTGTGACGAGGATGAACACAGTCCCAGATTGTCGGGAGCTACGGGACATTACGAGGCGTGAATGTGAAAGCAAACAAACGCAAAAACAAACAAAATATATTTCACACGACTTCTTAGCCATCCGGCTACCTCAGCATTAATTATGTCTCACTATACACACGAATAACAATCAGCTTGGCACAGACTCGGCTTTGAATCGGCAAACTCTGGACCTGCACCAAGTCACCTCTTGAGCTAATTTCTCCTGCTA